GTTTTCAGAGGGACCTGAGATCTGCAGGGACTTTGGGGGGGGCTCTGAGACCCACAATGGCCAGGTTTTGAGGACCCCACCCTCTGCAGGGTTTGGGGGACATTCAAAAAAATGCTTAGGGAGGCTTCCCACCCCGCTTCTGTCAATTCCCTCCCCCCCCTTTAAATAACTCCCCCCTCGCGCCGATGTAGTGTTCTGAGCGACCCGGGGGGGTGGGGGGAGCCAAAAACAAACCCCGGGGGAGGGGAGAGGGGATCAGCTTCCAGAACCAACAAAAAGACCAAATTAAAGGATTTTTGTTCCTTGGGTTTAACCCCCCCCCCCGGGGGGGGCAGGGGGTTTAAAGGGGGGGCTGAGCCACATGGAGCCGGTTTTTGGGGGGGGTTGCAATTCTCTCTGGTTCGTAGTAAAAGTTGCTGCCGCCGCCCTGGAAAAGGAAGGAGCAGTTATGGGGGGCACTGCCTAGCACCCCCACACACACAGCACCCCCACCCCCCCAGCCACTGGGCCCTGCAGAAGCTGCTCCAGACTTGGCTAGCAAGGCCCACAAGTGGCCAGTGCCTTTCGGTCTGGAGGTGCAGGTCTCACACCCCCCCGTGCCCCCCAATGCCCCCACCCCCCCAGCACCCACCTGTGGTTCCTTTATTTAGCCATGGCTTTGATGGCAACAGCAGCTTCCTCCGTCATGGCGGACAGCACGGTGATCTGGGGGGGAGGGAAGGAGGGGGGTCACACACTGTAAGATTCCCCCCCACACACACACTCCCTTCCTTTGGGGGCAGGGGGAGGGCTAGTCTCTCCATGCTACTGGAGCAAACAGGGCCCTGGGTTCTAGTCCCAGCTGGTGGGGTGCCTCGGTTTCCTCCATCAGGGGGCTAGCGTTGCCGAGCGCCTCCGCGAGGTGCTTTGAGACCTGCTGCTGGACGACCCGGGGTCACGGCTCAGCCCTCGGAGTGACGCTGCCCGAGTTTGCCGAGAGCCTGAGCCGCACTGGGCAGCAAAGGGGTGTTAATGCCCCTGCCCTTTGATCCGGGGGGGCCACCAGCCCTGCCCCCTTCCCTGCTCCCCCTTACCAGGATCTCTTCTCCGCAGTCGTATTTCTGCTCGATCTCTTTGCCCAGGTCCCCCTCGGGCAGACGCAGGTCCTCCCGCACGTCCCCGCTGTCCTGGAGGAGGGACAGGTACCCATCCTGGATCCCAATCAGCTGCAAGGCAAGAGGGGGGGCCCCTTAGCACCACTTCAGGGAAGGAGTTCACCTGCCCCCCACCCCGGGGAGGGGTGCGGTTCCGCGGGCACCTCCCCTTACCTGGAAGTCGTTTCTCTTGATGTTGGGCACGTCCATGTTGTGGGTGGAAGGGCAGAT